ACTTTTCAATTTTCCCTTCCCCTCCTTTACCCCCAAATTTGGGGTGTAAGATTTTAGTGTAAAAATTTCCATCATTCCCCTCCTTTACCCTCCCAATAAAACTCCCAAACAATGTTAAACTCAAATTTGTCATCCCCTTCCCTTCTCTACCCTCCATCCAAACACATCATTAGGGTATATCAATGCTGAAGGGGTGAAACTGTAGGGTATTTAAGTGCTATTTAGTCTTTGTCTTTCCAAGAATTAAGGATTAGAATGACAAAATCACTCTTACTTGTTTTAGCGATTTCCTGTGATCTCATGTGATCCTACTCCTCCCTCAGTAATAAAACACAAGCAGGAAGATGCCATTGGGCAAGTACTACTGTGATTACTGTGACAAGCAGTTCCAAGACACTCATTTTGCTCGTAAGCGGCACCTCTCCGGCTCTCAACACCAGCGCGCTCGTGCCCAATGGTACGATTCCTTCAAAGGTAACAACCCAAAACCCTAACCTTAATCCTAACCCTAACCCTAACTCAACTCTCAAAATTTCCTTCTAGGTCCGCATGGTGGTCCACTCCAGCTCGGAGTTTGCCATCACTTTGTCCGTACGGTGATGCTCTAAACCTTCTTCTTATTATTAATTTCTTTTGTCTTAGTTCTTTTATTTGAGCTAATGGAATTGCTTGGGGATGAGTGGTGGATGAATAAAAAAATGGAATTTGTTGCTGATTATGAAGTTGATAACTGCTTGAAGGAAATAGGCAATATAGAGCTGGAATTTGAGGAAACAATTAGAGATTATTATTTGAATATTTTGAGAACAACTAGACTTGGCTATGAGATTGAAATTACCTAGTGTTAGTGGGTGCTTAGGCTTGATTGTCAATATTTTTTCTCTAGTCAAGAGGATGAGCACATAAATTAAGTCCAAATCAGAGATTTTGTTAATCAAGTTGATCTTATCTCCAACCAAGAGTATGATGACAGATCAAAGACAACTATCACATATAGTACTCTATTCAAAGTATGGGTAATATTTTCTAATGGATTCAAGGATGTTGGTACATTTTACTTGGCTAATTATAGATCATGCTATCTCCAATTCCGTTGATAGATATAAGAGAGATGAAATATAGGCAGAGGGACCCATTGAGGTATATTGGAAAATGGATGAAAGAATCTAAGCTCATTTGATTCCATAGAGATTGAGAGATCTCTATTTGAATGATTTGGAGAGGAGATGTGTATGTATTTATAAATAGGCAGTGTTTTGTTACATATGACAACTTATGAATAAGAGAATAAATTTGCTACCACAAATCTCAACAAAAATATTAAGTAAATCTTGATTTGTGTCTATCCACATTTGCACGTCCTCTTGATTGGAGATAACAACCTGATCAACATATTATTGATTTGTAACTATCTTTCATTTGTTCTCATCTTCTTGGTTGAAGGTAAGCTTCGGACAAACATGATCGTTCTTAGTTGAGTACTTATTTTAACATGAAATGTTATGCTGTGTTTCCAAGATAATGAGTGAGAATATAGCTAAGAACTGATAAGCAATATCTCACCATGAACTATGAATTATGAACCCTCTTATTATGAAGCCATATCAGGTCGACACAACATCAACCTAACACTGCCCAGCCCATCTTAGATGTCCATCTTGATTCTTTTTAGCTAATAAAAGAATGTGCATTACTCTCTCTTTACTCCTTGAGTTGATATTTAACTTATTTTGTTTAGTTAAACTACTTTTGATGGGGGGAAAAATTAGGCAAAACTTATCTAATGAAAACCATCTGTATCTTTGAGATTCTTACTCTTATATAACTATAGATTTGTCTATTATTTTTGTTATTAGCATACACTAGCACATGAAGACATTCTATTATATAACTATAGATTTGTCTATTATTTTTGTTATTAGCATACACTAGCACATGAAGACATTTTATTTGCTCTAGATGGGCAGCAACATGCAGGCTCTGGCATTTCGCATAACTGCTTAATGAAACATTTTCTAGGAAGAAGGGTAAAAAATTTATGAAATGTCACACAGTTCTAATTGCACCTAAAGATAGATATATTGGTTTTGAATGTAAGAGTTTTGCCTAGTCTAATATGCATTATAGCTTGTGTCTTGTCCAACACTTTGTTTTATAAGAGATTTATGGAATAGTGGATGCAAACTAACAACCCTTTCTGCAAAAAAATAGGGAAAGTGTCATTGCTGATCAAAAAACCTACATTGATCATGACATTTAAAGATGTGACACTGAGCTAAATCAAAATTTTCATCCATAGGTACCATCTCTTTTTCCTACCAAAAGTCACATGAAGGGAGGACATGGCTAGCATTTATTTGCACCTTACAGAGTGTATTTGACCACTATATCAATGTAACTATTGTTCATTTCTCTTCAAAGTACTAAGTGAATATCATGATACCTTTAATTGATGTCCTCTCAAACTACCTAAAGACTTCATCAAAGTATCATTAATGGTGCGGTCAAGTGATGAATATACATGCAATCACTATTGATTTCGTGGAGCACATCTTTCTTCAGAATGATAAGACAAGATTTCAATCACACTAAGATAGAGTTAATATTTTACAAGTATGACAATCCTTTCTCAAAAAAAGAAAAAAAAAAGAAAAAAAAAAGAAAAAAGAAAAAGGGTTATTGCCGATCAATTTACTATGATCAGAAAAATAGTGGATGCAAAATGACAACCCCTACTGCAAAATAACAACCCCTTATGCAAAATAAAAAAATAAAAAGAAAGAAAAGGAAAAGTGTCATTGCCAATCAATTTACTATGATCAGAAAGCTTACATTGATCATGACATTTAAAAGATGTGAGAGTAGGAGCTAAATCAAAGTCTTCATCCATAATACCATCTCTTTGTCCTACCGAAAGCCACATGAAGGGAGGATGTGGGTAGCATTTATTTGCACCCTACAGTGAGTATTTGACCACTATACCAGTGTAACTATTATTCATTTCTCTTCAAAGTACTAAGTGAATATATGATACCTTTAATTGATGTCCTCTCAAACTACCTAAAAACTTCATCAAATTAAAATTAATGGTGCGGTCAAGTGATGAAGATACATGCAATCACTATTGATTTCGTGGAGCACATCTTTCTTCAAAACGATAAGACAAGATTTCAATCACACAAATATCAAGTTGATGTTCTACAAGTATGATAATCATCATGCTGCCAGATCTATTTCCACCCAATAATGCTCTATAGCGTCAGTTTGGCAAACTCCTCAAAACTGGGTCAAGATTGATCCTAATCAAAATTGAGATAAATTAGTCTTCTTTTGATCCATGAGAGGGGTGGATATAAAGAATGGTTTTAGGAGGACTGATCCAGTTTTTACTAGACAAGGTTCTTTCTAGAATGGGACTAGGATCAATCCTTGTCACGTTTTCGGATGTTGCCAAACTGGCCCTTAGTTAGAATGATTGTCCTTCATTTTTCCTAGCAGTACGACCATCTAAAATGATGGATATCGAATGAGAGACAGATGACAACAACATTTAAATATGACACAATCAATATTTTTTGAGGAAACAAAATTTGGTAAAGTAAATAAAGATAAACCTTAGCATGGTAAACAAGACTTTCATCAGTTATAGAAAAATAAAAAATGTGGTCTTAGCAATAGAAGTCATATGACAATAGTAGTTGTGAATCATAACTGAGAATTTTACCATTTATTTTGGAAGCGCTTCACTTACCATTTCTAAGATTTGAGTGAGACCTATAGAAGCTCGTTGAGCTTCTTCAACCTTCAAGGTGTAACTTCTGTTATTAGATTTCCAAGGCAAGCATCTAACTGCCTACAGATTTATTGGACGTGAACTACACTGATTTAGAAGGATAATGTCAAACGAAATATCGAAAGAAAGATTTTGGCAAAGTTTTTACAGAACCATCTCAAACCAGCTTCAAGTCCATGGACTCTGTTTTGTTCAAAAAGGCATAGATGATGATGTATTTCATTTTATTCTGACATGTTTGGTTCGTTTTGAAAACAGAAGTGGGGAAGAAGCTCTCGAGCTAGAATTTGGTTTTGTAGAAAGAAGTTGCTACTATGCACTATAATCCACAAACTGTGACCTTTAGACATTTTCTTTAGCGCACTAGATTTAATGAGGTTTTAGACTCGAATCTCATTATTTACAAATTCAATTTTCATTCACATTTGTAATGCCTGTTCGAGTGAGTCATGTTTAGATTATGACTTTTCCATGTGGCACAAAGCCCAAAATTGCTAGCTTATTGTCTATCAGTTTAAACTTTTTAAGTGAAGTAGTTGACGTGATTATACTATCCTGTTTGGTTGCAATTAATCACTTTAAAATTTATTAATTTGTTGATTTAGAGCTCATTTATGGTAAGAATGGTCGTATTCTCTTTTTTTGCCTTATTTCTTACCTACTTATTTGTGAATTCCTACAAGTTTATTGCATTACATGATTTATCTTGTTATAGTTTTTTGGATGGCCATTATCATAATTACAGGGAAATTGCAAGTATGGAGATTCATGTAAATATTTTCATCCAGTGCAAACAGCTGTTAACACGACTCCAACTTTGTCAGGTAAGTATAATACAAAAAAGCCATCTTGTTTAATCTTTTTGTAGTGGAAGACTGATTTAAAACAAGTGTAGATATTAATTTTTTCCTTTACATATTTGGAGTCATTGCTTTCTACTTCATGATATGAGTTTAAATTGCATAACCAGTGGAACTAACATTTTTCTTAAGCTGAATTTTTTCCTTTACATATTTGGAGTCATTGCTTTCTACTTCATGATATGAGTTTAAATTGCATAACCAGTGGAACTAACATTTTTCTTAAGCAATTTTTTCCTTTACATATTTGGAGTCATTGCTTTCTACTTCATGATATGAGTTTAAATTGCATAACCAGTGGAACTAACATTTTTCTTAAGCTGAATTTTTTCCTTTACATATTTGGAGTCATTGCTTTCTACTTCATGATATGAGTTTAAATTGCATAACCAGTGGAACTAACATTTTTCTTAAGCTG